TAGTTGGTAGTGTTTATTGTTTCAAGGACATTTCTTTTCTTTAAAACAAAACTCTAAACTTCTTAAGGGTGAGTCCCAATCATATGTGTCTTGGATTTTCCCAGAAATACTTAAACATTTTCTAAATGGAATTGTGGGAAGAATAAAAGCGAAGTTGCAGACATCCCTGCCGCAGGTTAATGTTGGAAGTCAGACTGTTGCCTTGCTCCGCTTTCCCAGAGACCTGGCGTTCTGGAGCCAGAGCTATTAGGATTTCAGTTCCAGGACCCAGGGATGACACATTTGCTGCTGCTGGGAGAAGAGTCTCACCGCAAGGCTTTGGTGGATGATGGCGCTGTGGAGGACGGGTTGATGACTCAAGACCCGCAGAAAAGTAACCTCACCAGACATCAGCAGCTGAGTTGGGCATGGCGTGCTCAGCAGCGCCCCGGGCGATGGTTGTGGTCAGACCATAGTCACCAAGTAGTCAGAAAGCAGAATACTGGATGTGCTCTTCTTCACTTGGTTTTTAGGCAAAAAGGAAGCCAGTGACTCAAAGGAAAACTACTAGCAACTTACTAGCAAAATAAATAAATAAATTTTATAAAATTAATAATAATAAGATAATAACAATATTAAAAAATGCCCTGAGCTCCCAGAGTGGAGGTGATATGTGGTGTAGTTCAGCCCAGCCTTCCAAACCTGCACTGGCCGGCAGAGCCTTCCGTGACAGATGTGCTCTGTTCCTGCGCTGTCCACCACGGTGGCCATCATCCATGTGGTGATTGAGCACGTGGAGTGTGGCTGGTGCTGCCAAGGAACCTCAAATCTTTGGTTTGATTTCTCTGATGAATTGAAGTTTAAATAGTCATCTGTGCAGTTCTCAGGAGACTGTTCGTGGGCGGAGCTGAGCAAAGGGACCGTCGGAGCCTGTGTAATCAAGCAAAGCAGCCCCTCGCACCGTGCCTGGCCAGCGAGGCAGGCTAGATGGAGCCCTCCCAGGAAGACTGGCAGCAAGCGCCTCGGGCCTAGCGACCTTGTAGGTGTCCGTTCCCTCAGCCAGGCGGGCTACACCAGCAGAGGATCTGCTCCCCCGGCAGTCTGCAGGGTTCAAGTTGTACAGTAATTAAATGAAAAACAAGCTAAGGCAATTTGATTTGTGACAGGGAAATACTGTAGATTCTGTCTGTGCTCACCGCTTTATTCTGACTCGGCTCTGAAGTGGAGTCTTGCTTATGTCCTCCTTTGGCAGCATTTGGGACAGAAGAGAACCTTACCCTGAGGCACATAGGTGGGCATTTATCGAGCACAGACTGCACAGCAGGGTGCCCACCCGCAAAGGGACGAGCAGGTTGGTGCTGCTCAGGTGCTGCGCAGGCTCAGGGATGGAAACTCGGCAGGAAGGGTGGGGGCATGCCACCATAGCCAGCAGTGGGCTCCTGTGCCGGGCAAGGGGAGGAAGGAGGTCCTGTGGGCAGCGAGTTTCAGGCATCCTTTCTGAGGAAACTGCCTCAACAGCAAGGAAAGGAAATGGCTATTGGAGGAGGGAGGTGCCCTCTAGTGGTCCTGTTTTTGTTGCCCGTTATTCTCAAACATTTTTTAATCCCTTGACTTCCTCTCACAGTTGCTTGAATATTTTCTACTGCATCCCCCAGTAAGAAATACATTTTCCATGGCTACTCAGTGTGTATGTGTGTATACATAAGGTCAAAACAGGAGCCCCGTAAAGACTTATCCTCACAACATGCCGTATACTCTTGCATTTGGTATTTTCTATTTTATTCCGTTTCTGTTAATGTCGGTCATAACCTACTAAATTGATTCACAGCCCACTAAATGGGTCGTGACCTGCAGTTTGAAAATCCACTGGAAAGGAAGCCCTCTGCCCTAGTCATTACCTTTGAGACCGAGACCGCATCACCCGCCCATCCACACTCTCGCCTCCCTCACGCAGGGCCCCGCCAGGGCCGGCAGAGCCTGGGAAGCCCGCTCTGTGAATCATCTGCTCGTGGTCGGTGTGTCCTTCTTCATGGTGGTTGGAGAGGAGGGTGATGGAGGAAGAGAGGGAATGATAAATTAGGACGTTTTTTATCCTAAATGTGGGAAAATTGGGAGAACTAACTTCTATTTTTAGGGTTTCTCATCCTCCGTTCTTTCTTTATCTCATTTATGGCATTTGCACTTTGGACAAGGATGAAAGCAAGTGAAACGAGGCAGGCCTGGACCTCTGCTTCCCTTGTCAAGTGGGTGGTTGACTAGATGGTCTCCAGCTGCTTCTCGTACTGACATTCTGTGATTCTGCTTGTCCCCGGGTGAGGGCTGGAGGTCTGGAATCAGTTGGAAGAGCAACCGGAAGGAGGTGTTAGGCAGGGAGGAGGTCAGCACCGCTGGGGCCGGGCCAGGGAGGAAAGGCAGCACCAAAGTGAGAGGCCTGCCCTTGGCAGCAGCAGGTACTGCAGGACATGTTCTTGCTGCACCTTCCCTGGGAAGCGTGGAGAAGGCCAAGGGTGGGGAGCTGCTGACCCGAGCGAGCCCACCTCTTTCCCAGCCAGTGGGCTCCATAAAATGCCTCCTCCGAGTCCTTCAAAGCTTACGGCCTTCTCAAGCCAGCAGAGCCTGGAGCCCATCTGGTTCCATCTCGCTCTCCCATTTATTTATTTACTTTTTTATTCCTTCTCCCATTTAGAGAAGAGAAAAGTGAGGTCTCAGAGGAGAAGGGGCTCACCAGGAGTCACACAGTCACAAAGCTGAGGCTGGAACCACGATGGAGTGACCCCACCTGCCATCATACCACCTCTCCTGCCCTCGGGGAGAGGGAGCTAGAGGGAGCCCCACTGCTCAGGGCTGGCGGCACTCAGTCCCCAGAAGGGCAGGCTGTTTCTGAAGCTCTCGCTTGTCACAGGCTTATTTGAACTGAGTGCAGGCACATGGGCGCTGGTGGGTTTCTGATGATCCGAACCGCCCCGGGGCGCGGGGGTGGGTACTCCAGATGCCAGCCCCGCCCCCACCCCTCAGGGTATCTCGTTCTGGCTCCAGCCCCATCTCTGAGGAGCTGCCTGGGCCTCTGTGTCCCCATCAGTGAAGTGCAGTGACTGTAATCTGCCAGTATGTTCTGAGGATCGGTAATTCAGTAGGTATTAAAAATATTCCTTGCCTAAATAAATATAGGGACACTAGAGTTAAAAT